CTTGTCCTAACCAGGATTGGGCAAAATGCCTGGGCAAAATATGGTCTGTGGGCCGGATCCAGCCTGCCAAGCTGCCTCCCCACTCAGAAAAGCCAGCTGTGGGGCCATGTGTTCGTCTCTGAACATTGAGAACCTGGAGGGAGGGCAGAGAGACTTCTCACATTACCCACACCCCCAGTAGCTCTCATTGGCTGGTTTGCTGTTTGCTGGACAGGCAGCATATGAAGTGCTCTGCCCTCCTCTCCTCCCCACTCAGGGCTCACCGCATTCAGTTCAAAGCAGTACGCATAGCCCTTGCAGCTGATCTGAGCATGTATAGGGGCATGGAAGGCAGGTATCCTAACCAAGGAACCTGCTGAGCTGCTGGATGAGAGCCATTCAGGTAAGGTCTCCCAACCAGCGCCTGCCTCTTCCCCCAATCCTCTGCCCCCCCATCTGCATTCCTACCCCATGTAACCCAAACCTTCTGCACCCCCATACATCTTCCCAGACACTGCACCCCCTCCTACACCTCTCCTCAGGTCAAAAACCACCTCCCAGATCGTGCACACCAATCCACTATCTCTGGCCACAACCCAAATCCCTGCACCTCCTCCTGCACTTCTGCCCAGATTACAACCTCCTCCCAGACCCTGCATCCCTCCTTTGCTTCTACCCCAGATCCCCTCTTCCTCCCAGACTCTGCACTCCCTTTTCCTACATCCCTTCCCCAGGCCAGAATCCTCCTGCACCCATACCCCGTCCCAAGCCCTGCACCCAATCCCGTCCTAGGTCACAACTCAGACCCCTGGACCCCTACCCTCAGTCACAGCCCCCTCCCAGACTCTGAACCCCAGTCTCTTGCTTCAAGTCACAATCCCCTCTTTCACCCAAAGTCCCTCCCAGAGTCTATATCCCAGTCGCTTCCCCCAAGCTTCCTTCTGCACCCAACCTCCATCTCAGACCTTGCACCTCCTCCATTAATAAAATGGAAGAGTGTGGCCCTTGACCACTTACCAAATTCTTGGAGTGTCCCCCCCCCCATCAAAAATTCTTACCCGCCCCTGTCCTAAATAAGAGATAGGACCACCACGTTTGATATGTAACTTCCTCTTATCACTTAAAGCAAGGTCAGGGTTTGATTGTGCCAGGACAATGGGGTGTGCCTGGAAATCAATTGTTTCTCATAAATGGAAAGGGACAGTCTGGCAGGAGGGGGTTATACTGCAGAATGATCATGGAGCAGTAAGGGGGCAGAGATGGAGTACCAGACACCAATAACCCCATTGGCCCATCAGGGGCTAGGGGTGGAGACATGGACAGCTATGTTATATATATTTCAGAGAGTCCATGTCTGTGTGTCTGTCCCCCAGCCTGTAATATTTGCCATATCCTTAAATTTTGTTGCTGCAGCCCAGAACAATTATTTAAATGAAGAAAAACAACTTATTTGAGTTAAGGACCTGAGCAATGCTGGGTAAATCTTCTAGTCTACTCTATAGATGGGAGAATTTGTCTGTCTGTGCATCTGTTTTTCTGTCTGGCTGTTTAAGATCTCCACCCAAATAGTAAGAATTAGGCAGTGGTGGAAAAAGTACCCAAAAAGTCTCTTGAGTAAAAGTACTGTTACTTTGAAATAAATGTAACTCAGTAAATGTCAAAGGATCCTTCTGGAAAATGACTTGAGTAAAAGTACAAAAGTATCACATCTGAATTGTACTTAAGTATCCAGAAGTAAGAAGTAGCTGTGTAAGTTATTGTATCATCATCATCAACAACCACCATGGGTTCAACGCCCATTCGTGTCTGATGCCTCCCTCACTATTTCCTTCCATCTTTCCCTGTGCGGTGTGGAGTGGCTTAGTTTCTGTAGACAAGCTCCACACCAATCTACTGTATCATCTCCCCATTCTTTGTGGAGTCTGCCTTTCCTATTCAGACCATAAGTTATTGTAGGACACCAGTTATTTCTCTCTCTCTCTCTCTCTCTCTCTCTCTCTGTGCGTGTGCATGACCGTGACTGTGACCAACCACATCCTTTAGTCTTCTCTTTTCCATGCTGAAAAGTCTTGTTAATCTCTCCCTCATGGATGCTGTTTCTTATAATTTCTGTTGCCCTTTGTGTACCTTTTTCAAATCCAATACATCTTTTTGTAGATGGGGTCACCAGCTCTGCATACAGTATTCAAGATCGGCAAGGAGTCCTGTGGCACCTTATGGATGCTGTTTCTTATAATTTCTGTTGCCCTTTGTGTACCTTTTTCAAATCCAATACATCTTTTTGTAGATGGGGTCACCAGCTCTGCATACAGTATTCAAGATCGGCAAGGAGTCCTGTGGCACCTTATGGATGCTGTTTCTTATAATTTCTGTTGCCCTTTGTGTACCTTTTTCAAATCCAATACATCTTTTTGTAGATGGGGTCACCAGCTCTGCATACAGTATTCAAGATCGGCAAGGAGTCCTGTGGCACCTTATGGATGCTGTTTCTTATAATTTCTGTTGCCCTTTGTGTACCTTTTTCAAATCCAATACATCTTTTTGTAGATGGGGTCACCAGCTCTGCATACAGTATTCAAGATCGGCAAGGAGTCCTGTGGCACCTTATAGACTTAACTGAAGTGTAGGAGCATAAGCTTTCATGGGCAAAGACCCACTTCGTCGGATGCATGTGACGAAGTGGGTCTTTGCCCACGAAAGCTTATGCTCCTACACTTTAGTTAGTCTATAAGATGCCACAGGACTCCTCGCCGCTTTTGCAGATTCAGACTAACACCCCTCTGATCGTATTCAAGATGTGGGCATAACATGACTTTATATACAGGCAATATGATATTTTCTGTCTTATCTATTCCTTTCCTAATGAGTCCCAATATTCTGTTAGCTTTTTAATTTTTAGATTGCACTGCGCATTGAACCAGGTGTTTTCAGGGAAGTATCCACAATGATTCCAAGAGCTCTTTCTGAGTGGTTTTTATTTTAGATCTCATCATTTTTGTGTGCATAGTTAGGATTATACTTTTCCATGTGCAATTCTTTTCACTTAGCAGATGGAATTTAGTGTTGATATCGTGTTTCCCAATTACCTAGTTTTGTGAGATCCCTTTGTAACACTTTGCAGTCAGCTTTGGACTTAACTATTTTGAGTAATTTTGTAGTAACTGCAAATTTTGCCACCTCACTATTTACCCCCTTTTCAAGAACATTTAAAAGTTTAACAGTACTGGTCCAAATGCAAATCCCAGCAGTACAACATTCATTGCAACTCTTCCTCCTCACCCCACCAGCTTTTAAGTACCTGGCAATGTTTTCATGATAATCTAAGGATCCCTTAATTACTTGAATGCCCAGTCTTTTGTTGTTCTTAATCACCTGCTTTTTTTTATATCAAACTCCCTGCCCCAAAGGCAAAGCTGCAAGTGCTCAAACTCTATTGCAGGTAAGAGCTGCCTTTGAAGCCCAGGCATGCAGCTTTAAGCAAACCTCAAGTATGAAATCCAGGGATTCAAACTTGGTACCTAGCCACCCATAAATGGCACCCATGCTCACGTGGCTGTGTGTTAGCAAATCAGAATGCTGGCTTGCACAAGTATCAGTGGGGTAATGAAAGTAGTGAGTAACTATGCTTCCAGAAATTGTACCATATTTTTTTTAAAAAAAAACTACTTGAGTAAAAGTCAAGAGTATCACAAAAATAAATTACTTGAGTAATTTCAGTACAAATACTGAAAAAATGTGCTTGAGTAGTGTAATGCAGTATTTCTACTTAGTTTCTTTCCACCTCTGGAGCTAGGACTACCAAATTTGGTGTGCAGCTTCCTCTTATCGTAACTTAAATGAAGATAAGGTTGTGGTTGTGCCAGGAAAACAGGATAAATCTGGAATGGGATTGTTTCTCATAAACCCATACAGAAAAGAGATGGACCCACCGGACAGTTGAAAGGGGCTGTATGGGAGCGCTATCCTCCCCTGGCCGAGACTACCCCAATTTCCCCCCCCACACACACACACACCCATCCCCAGATGCCCTTTATAGAGGACTGGAAAGCAGGGGCTGCAGTCCTTCCCCCCTTCCGTTTGTACTGGTATGAATAAAACAATACAGAAAAGAGACAGAATTACTAGGTAGATGGGGCACTCTCTCCCCCCAAATCTAGGACTGCCCTCGCCCCAGGCCTATCTCCTAGGAGCCCTTTAGGGTGGGCAGGGGTTTAGGGCTGAAGCTCCCCCTCCTACCCACAATTTGTATGGGGATGTTGCTGGCAGTTCCCTTTCATCAGGGGGCCAGAGGAAAGTGCACAGTTTGCTGCATTTCTCACTCTCTCTGGGGAGCAAAGGGTGAACCTGGTCCTGGTCCTGCCCCAGCGACAGAATGTGTACCTCCTCCCCTGGCTGTGCCTACTGGAGCTGCAGTGGCCATTGAGAGACACTTTTCACCTGGTTCCAAGTTGCTGTGGTGAGAGAGGGCTGGGGTACCTCTCTCCCCTGGGCAGCCTGCATACTGACCCCCTCATCCTCACCCACACCCCAGAGCAATGATTTGCATGAAGGAAAACAAAAATTAATTGAATTAAGGATCAAAGCAATGCTGGGTAAATCTTCTTGTATCCTATATATGCTTCCTTTCTTACTTCCAAAAGGTGGTGGTTTTTGAAACATTTAATTCACAGATAGATTAAAGCCTCTCAAAGAGATATATGGGAATGTCTTGTTTCTTTGAGGTAGTACTGATGCAGTACTGCTGTGCTTTTAATTCACTTTTAATACTCCTAGAGCCTGGAATAGGCTAGCATCTAAATAAAGCAGATGCTAATTCAGTTAAAGATCTTTTAATATCTAAAATATACTAAATTAAAGGGTTGTAGTTGCTTTAATAAAAGTGTAACTTGCACTGAAAGCTATTAAAACTCTCCCTGTCTCTACTGTTGGTAGTTGAAATAAAAAGCCATTTTACTACCCTTTGCTTTATTCTGGCTCATTTTGTTTTTAAATATTTCTTTACCAATTCTGTACTTTTTCAGCTTCTCCAGCACCAACAAGGACCGGCCAAGCAGGGAGCTTATCAGGCAGCCCAAAACCTTTCTCTCCTCAAGCCTCAACACCCATTGCTGCTAAGCAAGAAAGATCTTCCACTCCAGGAAGCATTCTGAACCTTAACCTTGGTTAGTTATAACTTTTGAAAGTTTAATACTGTTATATTAATGTAAATTATAGTGGCATGGATGTGAAAGAGTAGCAAATTGCATGCATATATGTGGTTTTAAATGAACATAGTACTGAATCACTGGTGTCACTATTGTTTAATCAGCAAAGCTGTGCCGTATTGTTTGTAATATTGAAATGAAAGATACAGTTGTTTTAAAAACTTTTTTTGTAGTGATGAAAGGTAATAAGTTAATACTGAGCTGGACTCTCAGAAGGCTTAAATCAGCCCTTTTTAGTATGGATGTCAGCATATAGTCGAATACGATTAACCAATAAGCCTGGGCTTATCAGTAAATCTTGATGGCTACACACATTTTCCCGTCATGGACTGGCTTCCCCTGCTACCCCACACTCCTGCCTCTGATATACAGGCAGCAGTACAGGTTGGCAGGGGGCTCTCTGGAAGTGGGGGCAGGAGCTCACAGTGCTACTGGCCCCACCTCCGGGGACTATCAAGTAGTTGTGTAACTGCTAAGATTTCATATGGTTACGCAACTATTCAATTACCTGATATCTAACATACCTATTTGTGAGTGCCAAAGCTGTCAATGCTGAACATCTCTTCTGCCTAATTTTTATTGCCCACTGTGTAGGGAGTTTTAAATTAAATGATTGGCTTTCTGTAGTTCTTGTTGATAAACAGGTGGAATTTAAAATCTGACATCTTGTTTTCTGATTGACATTTTAACATAGTTGTCTGCATTTTTTTTTAGCTAGAACATCAATTATCTCTTCAGAGATAGAAAAATGTACCTTTGTTAAAATGTCAGTTTTGTCAAGAGTGAATACAATGGATGGACTTTTGTACAGAGTGAATTTGATTTAAAATAAATTGATTTAAATTATGATTTAAATCATTAGTCAGGAAGATTTGATGTAATCATGGTTTTCCACATAGACGTGCATTCTTATTGGTTGTCATAACCTTAACACACATTCTTCACAATTCAGATAGATGAAGGTTTCATTTTTAGAAGGTACACACTACATTTTTTAACAGTGATTTATTTTGAATATGTTTCAGATTAGTTTTACAGCTATATCAGAAAAGGAATGATTGTTTGGTTATTTCATTTACCAAAGGCAATTGAAGCAGATATTTATGGAAGTCATTGGAAGGTGAACTATTTCTAATTCAACAGATTACTCATTAATATTTGGAGAATTTTCTTGCTATGCTGTATTAGGTGGAGAACATCACCAGAAAGACATTTAAATTGTTTTATTTCACTAAAACAATAAGGTTATGTATTCTGGCCTTTTTTCTTCAACAGCAAACATATAATATTTTAACAAAACAAGCATATGAATGTTTGAATTTTGCTAAACATTCAAGTTTTTTTTAAATCAAGTTTGTTAAAATTGTTTTTAACTAAAATAGCTAAATGAAATATTTTTAAGCGAAAATTAAATTTACTATGTCAGCCAAGTCAGAATGAGAAACTGAACTTTCAGAAATTTTGCACTTTCAGAGGGAGGTAAGGGATTGACTCTGTGTACACTCATTTGCTGAGGAACAATAGAATTAAGGTCTGCTATTTCTCACTTTTAATATTTATTTATTTAAAAACATTTTTGTTGTCAACAGACATGTTAGCTCTAGAGACACAAATCCACAGTTTGAGAACTGCAAAACTAAAAATTTCTCATGGTTTCTTTTAGACTAAGCAGTAACTCCCATTGGGTAGATAGAAAGATTAATTTAAATCTAAAGTGCTCCTCAGGACCTTCTGGCAAGGTGGTCACTAGCTTAAACCTCCACCTAAATTCTCACAAAGGTGAGAGTGACTGGTTTTGGTCCCCTTTTACAAATTCACTATTCCTAATACTATAAATTATATACTGCGTATCATCCAGTTAGCTTCTGGTGTGCACTGAAGCAAATTAAAATCTCAAATCACTTTTTAAATAGTGTCAGATCAATGCAATGATCTCCTAATGATTCCCTTGGAAAGTTAATAGGTTACTTATGTCATTTAGACTCTTACATCACTTTTGAAAGTGTGACAAGTATTTCACATAGAAAATTCCCAAGAATTGAATTTGTGTTATGGGTTGTACCTGCTAGCCTGGAAATGACCTAAGGATTGAAAAACTCAAATCCAGGTTCTATTTTAAGCTAGTGCAGACCAGAGCGGTAATACAAAATCACCTGGCTAACCCCTAATATGTGCATTTTAAATGTTAAATTTGAGACTTTGTGCATGTTTGAGTCATCATTTCAATTTTGTTTTTATTTAGATTTTGATCTTCTGTGATCTTCTATTCCAAATAATGCCTTTGAGATATATTTATAAATACAAGAGATATACAAAGTAGCTGAACTTCTTTCTCCCCACCCTCCGACATCATTTGCTTATCATGTAACCAATACAATTTAATATACACACACCCTTCATCTCATTTTTAGAGACAAAAATCCTATTGTCCTCTCCTCACTAGTGACCTGCAAGCATACAGACTTTGCAGGGTGCTTAAGAGCAGTGACTCATGATGTCTTATTCATGCTTTGCTTTCCAGTATAGCACAGCATATTAGGAAGAGCTAATGAAACAAAAGAGACATTGATAATGAGTATATTTTAGCTCAGGTTTGCCATCTAATACATATTCTTTGCTATAGAAATTCCTGCACACTGTAGAATGTGAGAGTGTGTGGGCAAGCTGAGATTTTTCCAGGTTTCATGGGTATGTTCTACACTGACTAGGGTTAAGCCTATGTCTATAGAATAACAATCCTTATTTACATTTTTCCTCCCCTTTTCTTATCTGCTGGGTTTAAAAGAAAAGTCAGCAAGATTTGTATTTTCCAATTCTTGATCCCTACAGATATCACAGGATTATTTTATGAAAAAACTGTTAAAAATTCTCTGAGAGTTGTTTAGATATGCAGACTAATTACAAAAGACCATGAATATATTTCATTTTGTCTGCATTTTCATTTCAGTCTAAAATTAAGTGATTTCCTGCACTCCTTAAAGTATATTTCTTAATTAAGGAATTATTTTTATAGATCGCAGCAAAGCTGAGATGGATCTGAAAGAACTGAGTGAATCAGTCCAGCAGCAGTCCACACCTGTGCCACTAATTTCGCCAAAACGACAGATTCGCAGCAGGTTCCAGCTTAATCTTGACAAGACAATAGAGAGTTGTAAAGCACAGTTAGGTATGCCTATGTCCAGTGTCCATTAAGTAATGGGAGCATAAAACCTAAACTTAACAAAATCAACTCTTAAATCAAAGTTTCTTTTTATAAACTTGAAAAGTATTTGTCCATGTTGTACATAAAACCTCAAGCCCCTCATATCTAAAAACATAAAATCAGATGATATTTGAATACTAAAGGGAATAAAGTTTGAATGTGTTCTGCTGGAACAATCTAACATATAATGGAACTTGCTGTTACAATTCTCTCTGAAAAACTTTCATATTTCAACCTATGTTGTTTGCACCTTTCTGATGTAGATGAGTGTATTTATTTTTTGGGGTCTTATTTTTGCTTATAGCATGAAAAAAATGAATAACTGTGGCTAGTTTTCTAAACACTACCTAGTATTAACAAATCCGCTTACACATGGTAGGAGTGGTGATACTATTAAATATTTATATCACCTTTTAGCTTTGTATGGGCACTTCATAGTGATTTAAAAATCAGACCACCTCTTCTTGTAAAATCGTCATGTCTAATATCCTGATTTGGCACACGTTTTATGTAATTTTAGTTCTTCTTTGAGTGATTGCTCATGTGCATTCCAGTTAGGTGTGTGCATGCAGCGTGCACGCGTCGTCAGAAATTTTTCCCTCAGCAGTATCAGTCGGGCCAGCAGGGAGCCCTCTGGAGTGGCGCTGGTATATTGGCCAATATTTACCCCTGTTGGCTCTCCACCCACTCAGTTCCTTCTTACCGCCGTGAAGGTCGTTGGAACAACCCTCAGCTCTTCACTGAAATCGTTATCTTCAGCGTTGTTTCTCTCCTTTCAATTATTCCCCAGCTAAGTAGCTGTGAATTTAAGTCAAAGAATCTTTTTGGATACTTTTTGTTTGTTTGTTCCCCGCCGCAGCGCTCTGTGCGCCCATGGCAGGACATGCCCAGTCTGCAAGGCTTTAAGCCCTGCAAAAAGTGTCATAGGCCTATGCCCTGTGGTGATCTTCATTCAGCGTGCTTAAAGTGTTTGAGGGAGGCTCATTCACAAAAGCCTGCAAGATTTGTAAGGCCTTCAAACCCCATACCAAGCACGAGAGGGACTCGTGCCTCAAGATCCTGTTAATGGAGGCAGCTCTCAGGCTGGCACCGGTGTCGGACCTGGCACTAGCCTCTCAAAGCGCACTGGTGGCGGTGCGGAACAGTTCTGCGCACCACACCTCTCCGGCACTGCAGAGACCCTGGCACCGATCCCAGTCTCCGGCACCTCAGAAAAAGAGGAGGCCTAACGGGGGCCAGTCCCTGTTGGGACATGCGCCCTCCAGCGGCACACACGGCGCTGCTGCCGAGTCTGGGCCTTCCAGGACTTTCCTTCCAACACAGGGAGATCAGTTTCCTGAAGGACTTCCCTGAGCCCTCCACGCCAGAGGCTTTAGAGGCAGCGAGGGTCCTGACAGTCTCCGGCACCTCAGAAAAAGAGGAGGCCTAACGGGGGCCAGTCCCTGTTGGGACATGCGCCCTCCAGCGGCACACACGGCGCTGCTGCCGAGTCTGGGCCTTCCAGGACTTTCCTTCCAACACAGGGAGATCAGTTTCCTGAAGGACTTCCCTGAGCCCTCCACGCCAGAGGCTTTAGAGGCAGCGAGGGTCCTGATT